TGCAGAGATCTTTCAATATTGAAGATCGTAGGAGAAAATATTGTATTCAATTGGCCGGAAAACGCTTGAGGGGATTTAGAGCGTTTTTAACAAATAAGTTTCTAAAAGATTCTGAAGGAAACTTTGTTGACTCAGAGCGTCCGATGAAGTACGCGGATTTGATTTCGGAGGAAGAATGGGAGACGTTTGTTGCAAAGCGAAGATCAAAAGAATTTGAAGTAAGTACAAAAAGGGCATCAATAGTATATACTTATTCCATGTACAGGAGTTCTGATAAACTTATTTTTTCAGGTTGTTAGTGGCATAAATCGTCAACGGGCATCAAATCCCGCATATCCATACAGAAAGGGCCGGTTGGGATATGCACGATTAGAACAAAAAATAGTAAGTACATATAAATGCTTTAATATAATATATTTACAAAAAATAGTAAGTATATATAATAGGATACAATGCTTTATTATCCGTCTTAATGCGTAGTTGGAAGAGGAGAAGAGTGATGCGACATCTCTTCCGGACCATGTTGTATGGAAGGCTGCCCGTGTGGGACGAGATGGAGTCGTTCAGGAAGAAGTTCAACAAGTCTTTGAACAATCTGTAAGTACAACGTTATCTTTGTTAATAACTGATCAAAAGTGTGTAATATATTTATATATGTTTTTATCTATATTTCAGGAGACTCTGTCCCAGACCACAACTCCTGCCGAGGACAATGATTGCAGGAGCTTACTGAGCCGGGTGCTGAATATTCCTGAGTATTCTGGGCGTGTGAGGGGTAAGGGATTTGGTGTCACTCCATCCAAACTGTATAAGCAGCCAAAGAAAAAAAATCCAACCAATAAAGAAGTGATGGAGACTTTGGAGGAATTGAAAGCGCAAATCCGTGAATTACAGAAGGATAAGGAGAGATACATGGCGGAAAGACGCGCTCCAGAGGGTAGAGCTACTAGTGACAAAGATAGTACCGGTTGTCCACAGAAGCTTCCAGAGGTAATTGTATATATTACATTGAAATTAATTTAGCACACTTTACTTAATTGACACATTAACTGATCATTATTTGTTTAGGGCATTTCACTTTGCCGGCTATATTTATCGTCACCTACTCATCGAATGGTTGGCAAGGGAAAGGTGCATAACTTTCTGGGAGACTTACTTCACCATAAACCGCTCCCTTCTGTATTTTTGAAAGTATCTATTGATATTGCGTTAGAGGGGGGTGCGTTGTTGCCTATACCAGATGATATTTCAGGCGCAACAGTGGTGGGAGACGCAGTAAGATCGTATGTGGCATGGCTGGCAAATCTCATTTGCATAGATGATGAGGTAGGTTGAACCTTTTAATACTCAAATGTTTTATGATTCATACATGAAAGTTATTCTTACATCTACATTTTCTTATTTACATGATGATCTTAGACTCCTACAAAATCCAAATCAAAAGATGATAGAATTATTGTGCGGGATACCGATTCAGCTGCATCAAAGAAACAGGTACTACTACAGTTACATGACTATCTTGTTATACAATATTAATTACTGAACTTATATATGACTTTTAGGTTCATGATCAGCAGTCGCAACAAGTCAACAAGGGTAAGATGCCTGAAACTTCCAAGATTCCCAGAAAAGCAACTGTTCCTCGATTTAGGATGTGCCTTGAAACATATGTCGGAACATCAGATGTGCCTGAGGGTGGCGTCCGTCAAATACATATGGAGGCAGGTATTTTCGGTTTTGAATATCCCGAAACAATTGCTAAGGAGGATTTTGATCAGGTTTTCAACCATTCTGAACTGGGCGTCGGTGTTATGCATTCATACATCAGGTACTCCGATCCATTTTTATTAAATAATTGAACATTTTAAAATTTGCTCGTTTAACTTAATATTTTAATGTTGATTATGTTTTTTTAGGTTCTTGTATGACAAGTTATTGGTCCCGAATGAATTGACTTCAGTATTCGCATTCTTATCTGCTAGCTGTGTCAACTCACGTATAATAGACCAGTCACCAGATACAGTCAAAGAGTACACAGTGCAGAGATTTATGCACGCGACTACGGAGAAGTTGTTCTTGTTGCCATATAACACTGGCCATGGGTTAGATTTTATTCTAAATTCATTTATTATAATTGTTCGATTTTTCCCTTTCTATATATAACATTTCCGTCTAAACTGTTGTCTTATTTTATAGTGGACATTGGTTGTTGATCGCAATTAATCCGACGAAAGAAATAGTGTATTATATAGATTCATTGGATGGCGATACAACAAAATATGAAAATCTGACGAACTTTGTTGATACGTAAGTGATGACATATACTGTTGTCTTTAATTATATATCTTTATTTATTATGTGACATTGTTCAAAATATGTGTTTATATTATGTTAGAGTTATACAAATATTCAGAGCACAAAGAGATGCAACGGTGCAAAAAAGGAAGGCTAACAACATCAACTGGATCAGAGTAGAGGTATATTCTCGCATGTTTTTACTTGATAAAACTATTTCAACTATATATCCGGATAAATGTTCGTTTGTTTTTTCCATTTACAGTGTCCTCGACAGCGTAATGGTATTGACTGTGGATATTTTGTATTGCGCTTTATGAGGGAAATTATTCTTTCTAGTCAACTTGAGATTCCAGTCCTGGTATGGATCAATTCATTATATAAGTTATATGATTCATTTTGATAATTATCCGATACTTCATATGAGTAATTAGTTTTAAACTTAAATCTTATTCGATCTGTTATATTATGTAGTATTATGATGAATTCAAGTGCGCTACTTACACGAAAGCAAAATTGGAAGAAATTAAAGAGGAATGGTGTCAATTTATTCTTGGGTTGAGAATTGTATAGAGTTATCGGATTGGAAGACTTGTAATTATATGTGAATTGAATGTATTTGTGTTGTTGTAATTCTGAGAATTGAATGTATTTGTGTCAATTTTTGTTGTAACATATTTAAACAGGTTTATGTGTATATTAAAATGTTTATGAACAAAGTCATGAGTTACATCCAAAGTTTTGAATTGTACATATAAGGCCAAAGTTTGAATGGTATATTTAAGGCCAAAGTTTGAATTTTATTTATAAGGCCAAAGTGCTGAAATAAAGGCCTTAATTATAAGTCGGTTTGTGTAATATAAGCAGGTTGTTGGTAAAATATACAAAACAGGGTGAATATTTTATAAAAAAAAAATTTAAAATTTAGGACATTAGACAGCGCTTTTACATAAAAGCGCTGCTAAAGGTCACAAATATTACGCTACAAAAGCGCTGCTATTGGTTTGGAAGGGGGGGTCTAAGGCAGCGCTTGTAAAAAGCGCTGCTAAAGGGTGGGCTATGGCAGCGCTTTTGCAAAAGCGCTGCTAAAGGGGGGGTCTAAGACAACGCTTTTGCAAAAGCGCTGCTAAAGGGGGGGATGGTTGGGGGAATTATGCAGCGCTTACAAAAGCGTTGCTAAAGGGCTAAAAAAGCGCTGCTAAAGGTGATGCTGAAGGGAGCTTTTAGCAGCGCTTTTTCATTGAAAAAAAGCGCTGCCTTTACCTTTAGCAGCGCCACTTTTGGCAGCGCTTTAAAGCGCTGCTAAAGGCCAAAAAAAGCGCTGCTAAAGGTCTTTTTTGGCATAGTGAAGAATGAATATAGTGAAGATTATCAAGAATGAAGATTCAAATGAACGAAGATTGTGAAGATGAAAATTTCGCTATCGTTATTGTTGTCGTCTCTGCTTCGTTGGTTTGCTAGTTCGCTTAGGGTTATGAAGGAAATAATGAATCTGTTTTGTTTTAAATTTATCAAGAAAACCTTTGACCACGGTTGTTACATTCAAACGCAATGAAATATATATCTTATTACAACCGTTGTATAGTAAATTTTCGTGGTTAAATAATTTTTAATTTTATTTATTTATGAACTTAAGTGACGCATGTTTTTTGTAATAGAAAAAATGAAAAAAAATGTAATTACTATGATTTGAAGCTTGTAACACTTATTTTATCACCAAGGTTGTTTACCTCAACTGTAATTAAATAACTTTCAAAAAAATAAAAGATATATTAAACGCATCCAATTTACGATATTACAATGGTGAAAAGCCTAACTATAATAATATCAGTGTTACAGAAGGTGTTTTTTTTTTTTTTGTAGTAGTGACATGTCACAATTACATCTATTATTTTATTTTTTTTTGCACATAATTGTTCACAACTTTTGATTTGGGTATCAACTTATGTTTACACAATCTATATAAAAACTATACTCTTACTTTACAATCACTTTGACTGTATATACTTACAAATACAAATAATTCATCCTCAAGCCTTCAATTTAGGCAAGTACTCTCTACTATGCCCACCCATCTTTGTTTTTTGACACAGACATTAGCAGAGTGGATATAAAATTTTGAAACTCTGAGACTTTAAAGATACCAAATCTATGCGCCCCACCTTCAGATGAATCTAACTTTTAGGCATTGTCCTCTACTATGTCTACCCACCTCTTTTTTTTGTGGGTTTGGCTATGAGACATGCAATACTGCAAATCACAATTAATTATTTCATTATCATGTCACTAATATGTGATCATGTGCCTAACCACACGGATTTTATTAATTATTCACAAGATAATGACAGGCACTTGTGCCTAACGTGTTTGTCATAGTTTCTGTTGGTTTGGATTATGTTTTTCCAAGATTTTTTACATGGTTGTTTTATTGTAAGAAGGGTTAGAATCTTGCGTAAAAAAAAAAACTACAGAAAAAAAAAAGATACACTGACTGAAATCAAATATATATCTACTAACCATTGAATCTGTTTTTTATTCATTCCCCACCATTAGATAATTTTATTTAAAAATATATTTAAAAAGTACTAATCGAGAGAAAGATAGAGACACATAACTGTAGAGGATTTATTTCCCTATATGATGCCTTTTATGTATATATAGTTTGATTTGGATTTCAAATATATTATGTTTTTCTTTTTTACAAAATGGCTTTGCCCATACTTGCATCTCCCCAATTATCCTTTAACAAAATGTTTCTTCCACAAAACAGATCCTTATCTCTAATATCATGTAATTTTAATATCTCTCGTTCAATTAAATGTAAGGCAACAAATGACGTTGCAAATGATGATCGTGAAAATATTCGTCGTCGATCTGCAATGTTCCAACCTTCGATTTGGACGGATGATTATATCCAATCATTAAATAGTGAATATAAGGTACAATTATCTATAAATTCTTACTGTTAGGAAAAATGATGATAAACTTTAGTTAAATAAATGAATGCAGGACGAAATATATGCAAAGAAATTGAGAGTGCTAAGGGAAGAAGTAAGGATGATGTTTAACAAAATGGAAAATGAGGTTGATCAACTTGAGTTTATTGATGTGTTGCAAAGACTTGGAGTGGATTACCATTTTACCAATGAAATCAAAAAGATATTAGACAATATTTACAACACACAAACATTCAAGTTCAAGAAAAACTTACATGCCACAGCACTCGAGTTTAGACTCTTGAGACAACATGGTTATCATATATCTACAGGTTAATATTAATCATAATTAAAAACCTTTAATCTCTTCAGATATTTAAAATTATAAGATGAGTTTTGGTGCAGATGTTTTTGTTTGCTTTGATTTGAAGACAGACCAAGCAATTGATGCTGAGGGAATGTTGTCAATGTATGAAGCCTCATTTCATTCATTTGAAGATGAAACTATATTGGATGAAGCAAGAGATTTCACCACCAAGTTTCTCAAAGATTATTTGAACCAACATGGAGATAATGATTATATGCCACTTCTAATAAGTCATGCTTTGGAGCTTCCACTACATTGGAGAATTCCTCGATGGGAGGCTCGTTGTTTCATCAATATATACGAAAGGCAACAAAACAAGAGTAATGTTTTACTTCACTTTGCTAAATTGGATTTCAACATTCTTCAAAGCATTTACCAAGAAGAACTAAAATATACGTCAAAGTAAGAAAGCTCAAATTATTATCTTTAAAAATCAGTTTACATCAGGAGTTTTTTTTTTTTTTTTTTTGACTAATATTTAGATTTTATTCTATCTTTTAAGATGGTGGAAAGATACTCAAATCGGAGAAAAGTTAAGATTTGTTAGGGATAGGTTTGTTGAGAACTTTGTTTGGAATGTGGGAATGAGTTTCAAGCCAGAATTTGAATATTTTCGAAAAATCCTGACAAAGGCCAATGCCTTAATTACCATAATTGATGATATTTATGATGTGTATGGTACCTTGGAAGAGCTGGAGCTCTTCACAGAAGCAATTGAAAGGTAACTAATTGTTAGTGGTGGTATTCTAGAGGTGGTATGTGATAAATTATATTCTTGTAGATTTGGAGTAAGAAAATATTTTTTGAGTCACGTTTTGCACTAAATTTTCACTAGTGGAGGTTGTACTTTGAAATACTCTGATTTTATTGAATTCACCATACACTCACTACATACAACTTGTCATTACAAAACCTTTATATAGGCTTGAAAAAAACTGACAGAGAAAACATTAAGTTGGTAATTAAGATGATGATTCTTTAGTTCTCTTAATCTTAATGATACAGCTCTACCATAAATCTAAATAAAGACAATAATTATAATGTGATGGTTATAATTCTCTCATAATGCTTAATAAAGATAGTGGTGGTTACAACAAATTAATTTTAACACCCCCTCTTAATATGTTGTTCTTTAACTCCCATTACTTCTCTAAGTTGCTGAAATCTTCCTCTTGGTACTGCTTTAGTAAAAATGTGTGCTCTTGTGAATTACAGAAAGCTAATTGCACATCTACTTCTTCAATCACATTTCAAATGAAGTGATGCTTTAGATTAATGTGTTTGGTCCGGCTATGATAAACAGGATTCTTTGCCATGGCAATAGCTGCTTTATTGTCACAATGAAGTTGTAGACTTCCATCTTGCTTCTGTCCAATATCTTTTAATATTCTTCTCAACCAAAGTGATTGTTGTGTAGCCAAACTAGCTGCTAAATACTCAGCTTTATATCATCCATACTTCTGATCCAATGAACATCACAATAGTCTTTAGTTTCAAGTTTATAATACTTCTCAAATCTAATTTCATGCTCCATGGTTCCCATGACATACCTTAGAACTCTTTTTGCTGCCCGAAGATGTAAATGACTTGGTTTACTCATGAGTCTTGAGAGTAAACTAGCATATAACATTAAATCGGGCCTTGAAGCTGTAAAATAAAACAAGCTTTCAACCAAACTTCTATGCATGCTTGCATTTACTAATCTTGCATCGTCTTCCGTGTTTAATTTTTCATTCACCACTAAAGGAATATTAATAGGTTTGCAACCATATGTGCCAAACTTTTTTCAAAATATTTTCAGCATATCTCTTTTGACAAATAAAAACTCTATATTCATCTTGGTAAACCTCAATACCAAGAAAGTGATGCAACAAGCCAAGATCAGTCATCTCATATTTTTTCATCATTTATATTTTAAAAATTTCAATCATTTTCTTGTTGTTACTCATGTAAACCAAATCATCAACATAAAGGGCAATAAGAAGGTAGACTCAGTTTGACTTTGTTGAAATCATTGTTGAACGAAGTAGCTGTCAATTTCACGATACCACGCTCTAGGGGCTTGTTTAACCCATAGAGACCTTTCTTACACTTGTAAACTTTTTCCTCTTGGCCTTTAGTCACAAATCCTTGAGGTTGATGCACACACACCTCTTCTTTTAATTCTCCATTCAAGAAAGTTGACTTCCCATCAAGTTGGTACAAATTCCAACCATTTTTAGCTGCTAACATAATGATTGTTCTCACGGTGTCTATACGTGCAACCGAAGCAAAAGTCTCACTATAGTCAATTCCAGGCTGTTGTGCATAACCTTTGACTACTAATCTAGGCTTGGCTCTTTGAATTGAATCATCTAGATTATGTTTCAATTTGTACACCAACATTACTCCAATAGCTTCTTTGTCATTTGACTTTTCAACTAGCTGCCATGTGTTGTTCTTCTCAATTGCATTTATTCCTTCTTGCATCACATTCCTCCAAACATCTTCTTTATTTGATTCATCAAAATTTTCTGGTTCCACAACGCAATAGTTTCACATGGCATAAATATCACTCAAATCTTTCAATTTTATTGGAGTTGAACTGGGAGATTATGAACTTGAAATTGGTGAATTTAGAGAGGATGATGAACTTGGTGTACATGGGGCTGGTTGCTCATCTTCAGCTGCTGAATTTTGTTGTAATAAAATTGTAGAGAATGTTTTCTCCTTCATTTTGTCTTCTTCCCAGTTCCAAGAAGCCTCCTCATCAAATACAACATCATGACTAATGATCACCTTGTTTGTCTTCAAGTCGTATAGTTTATAGCCCTTTGACATGAAACTATAGCCAATAAAGACACATATTTCAATTGTTTCTTCCAGCTTTGTCCTCTTTTGTTGTAATAAAGTTATAGAGAATGTTCCACAAACAAAAGTCATTATCTTATCTAGCCATCATGCTGAAATTTTTCTCATAATTAAGAGAAAGTCGAAAGCTTCTATTACTGGTCATTTTTACAACAACAATATTTTTTCTCTTAGAATCATAAATTTTGTACTCTCGATTCTCAAAATTTAAAGAATAGGCATGCTCTAAAAGTTTTCCAATTCTTAGCAAATTCTCATCTAACTCTGACACATAAAGAATATCATGAATGGCTTTGCTTCTTTGCTTTGCAGTAACTTCAATGTTGTCTTTTCCTTTTACTTCAACATGCTCTCCATTGCCAAATTTAACTTTTGAGCCAAATGAAGAATCAACGTTGATAAAAACTTCTTTCTTTCCGGTCATATGATTTCTACGACCGCTATCCAAATACCATACATTTTATATTCTTGAAATGCTTTTTGGCAAGAAAAGAATAAATTACCTTCATCATTTTCTCCTTCTACAAATGAAGCATGTTGTTGATTGACAAAATGACAATCCTTTTGAATGTTTCCGAATCTCTTGCAATTGTGACATTATGGTTTTCCCTTATTCCAGCAAACCTTCTCGTCATGAGTGATAATCTTACAAATTTTACACCATTTATTTGATGCTCCTTCATGCCATCTTCCGCCATTTGCGCCTCTTCCTCTTCCTCGTGAGTTTCTTCCTTTACCTTGACCTCTTACAAATTTGCCACCTCTAGAAGATTCACCTCTATTTTATATTGGAGCTTATCTTCACCGTTGTTGGGCTGAATGTTGAGTTTAGATTGAAAGACACTCTTAACTTATTTTTCAGAGTGTCAGAACAACATTTGCTCGTATGACCTCAAAGACCCCATCAACCCTTGAACAAACATAGTTGATAGGTCCTTAGTTTCTTCTTAACAACCAACATAGGATCAAATTTTTCTATTAAACATAATCAGGATTTTATCAACAATTTTGCGATCATCTATTTTATCTCCATGTGATTTATTTGATTCACCAATTCAAAGAGTCTATTAAAATATTCATTCAAACTTTCATTCTCTTTCATTCTTTCATTTTCATAGTCTCTCTTAAGAGATTGAAGTTTTACAGTTGTCAACTTTAATTTAAGTCTCCTTCAAACTCTTGTTGTAGAATATACCATGTTTCCTTTGTCGATTTTGCTCTCATAATCCTCGAGAAAATAGATAGAGGGAATCCTCTTTGAATCATCCCGAGAACTACATCATATGTGATCTCTTTCTTCTTCAATTCTTCAAGTCGTTGGCTTGATTCTTCAGCCTTTTCTTTTGATTCTCCAGCCTCTGTTAGTGTTTGTTCTTCATACCCGTTTTGGACGAACACCAAGACATCCAAAGAGGTGAATAGAGTCTTCATTTTAACAGCTCAAAAATCATAATTCCCTCCTTTAAACAAATGAACTTTAACATTGCTATAAGTTGCGAAAGAGTTGCTTGGAAAAACCATATTTTTTGTTGTTTTTGCTGCAGCTGCAAAGATCTGCATCTTTGATACCACATTGTTGGTGGTGGTATGTGATAAATTATATTGTTGTAGATTTGGAGTAAGAAAATATTTTTTGAGTCACGTTTTGCACTAAACATCCACTAGTGGAGGTTGTACTTTAAAATACTTTGATTTTATTGAATTCACCACACATTTACTGCATACAACTTAGCATTACAAAACCTTTATATAGGCTTGAAGAAAACTGACAGAGAAAACAATAAGTTGGTAATCAAGATGAGGACTCTTTGGTTCTCTCAATCTTAATTATACAACTCTGCCATAAATTTAAATAAAGATAATAATTATAATGGGATAATTATAATTCTTTCATAATTTTTACTAAAGATAGTGGTAGTTACAACACATTAATTTTAACACTAACTAGTAAGGTTTTAAAAACAAATTGCGACCACGAAAACGGTCGTGACAAAACAATATTAGATGCCTATATTGATACTGTTATCACTATTTTTATGTTTAAAATACAAATTGTAGTTAATCTACACTAAATAACCGTAATCAGTATCGTAACATCTATACCGATCAAAATCACGAAAGTCGTTATGCGGCCGAAATTTGTTTTAAAACCCTGCTAACTAGTGTCTTATAAGGCCGTTTTGTGGTGGATATTGCTAACAAACCATTTTTTTTGTTGTACTAGATGGGATCTAAATGACATTGACTCTCTACCATATTACATGAAAATATGCTATTTTACGCTTTATAACTTTGTGAATGAAGTTGAAACATCCAACAAGATTGGGTGCTCTATCACTCCATACTTGAAAAAAGAAGTAAGTAATATTTTTGTTGGCTTAATTATTTCTATTTGGTTTAAGATTTTAATCAAATGATATTTTTGTGCTGAATAGTGGACAAATTTATGTAAATCATATTTGATTGAAGCAAAGTGGTTTCACAGTGGATATACTCCAACCTTTGAAGAATACATAGAGAATGCATGGATATCCATAAGTGCACCTCTTATGCTTATTCATGCTTACTTCGTTATTCCACATTCATTCACACAAGAAGATTTGGTTTGTTTAGAGGAAAACAACAACATAATACGATATTCAGCAATGATTTTACGTCTTGCTAATGACCTCGGAACCAGTAAAGTATGTTGCTAACTTCAATTTTATTCCTTACATTTTTCCTACTTTATATTTTATTTTCCCTCCTTAATTAAAGTTACACATCACTTTTACAAAGGAAAAATACAATGAAACCTATAAATTTTTCCTAACTGTTTTTTCCTTCTATTTTGAAGCGTGAAATTGAGACAGGTGATATTCCAAAATCAATTCAATATTATATGAACGAAAGTGAAGCTTCTGAAATACAGGCTCGTGATCATATAAAGTTTATGATTTGTGCAATTTGGAAGAAGATGAACAAAGAAGCTCATAATTCATCTTTGTCTCAAAGTTTCATAGATCTTTCAGTAAACCTCAGTAGAATGGCATTATTCATTTATCAACATGGAGATGGTCATACTATTCAAGATCCTGAAATTCAAAATCGTATTCAATCATTAATTTGGAAGCCCATTCTTATTGATGGTTAAGTTATGGCTTATATGTGCTTTTAACCATCACTCTAGCTATTTGTTTTAAAATTTAGATGTAATATGTTTTAGAATTTAACGTGCCACCTACTAAATTAAACTTGGCATTCCTCCAATATTTTATCATGCCAAACTTTTTATTGAGTGAAAAACACATCAAATTTTTGTATGAAATTTCTAGTAGGTATAACAAAATTTCAGGTTTAAATTGAAATTTTTGACAGTTTATTTGAAATTTCTGGTGTATCTGAAATTTTAGAGTTTTCGGTAAAGCGCAAAATATTCCTGAAATTTTTAATTTCTATGGTGATATCGGAAATTTTACCCTAAATGAAATTTTCGGTAGTTATATTTTTAGAGTTTTTTGGATGATCAGAATTTTGCCGACAGTTTTGTGCGGCTGTGATTGCACCGACAATATGTGTGGTCCAAAATAGATTCAAAGTTTTACAAATAGGGGTCACCTGTTGATTATAAACACATCTCAAAAAATGCCTCTTTCTCAATTTTTTATTAAGATAGAAGTGTACTTCAATAGAGTTTTTCCTCATGTAGAGTTCAAGCTTCCCGATGGCATCACCTCTTTTATCGGTCTGACGTCAAAGTTGAATGAATTGTTGTCTGATGGCGACAATAGAAAGGTGAGAAAGATTGAGTCTCGTGAATATTGGATTGATACAAATAGGAGACTGAAGTACAACTTTATTGAGTTGAAGGAAATGTGAAGATCATTTCGCGGTAGGATAACAAAGGGGTCGATCGAGATACAGTGAGGTACCACTCCAAGTAACCATCCTCACACTGCAAGGGGTGATGCGAGGGTGTGATACAGTGAGGTACCATTCCAATTCATAATTCTCACACTACGAGGGGTGCTAAACACTGACCGCTAGATCTCTGATGGTACGACAGGAGTTGAGGAAGTTACTCTGAAACCTCCAGTCAATCCCTGAAACTGGAGTATCTAGAACTGGTCGTCGGATACCCGGAATTTAACCATACTATCGCAGATACCTCTCAGGCAAGTGTCTAGCAACCATGATCTCCCACTGCATATAACCTGAATATAACGGCGACTCCTCGAACACACGTGGACTCTATGACAAGTGTATGGTGTTTAGATGACATCATCTACAGTAAGAGCATTAAGCCTCCTCCACCACCAAGATGTGCATGTCTCGCCTTCCATCTCTTCACCCGTAGGGCCCACACCTAGCAATGTTGCACCCTCATGTCACAGATGGTAGGGAAATGCTCGTATATCCAGCACTAAAATCATAACACAAACACAACAAATAATAATTTAGAAATGATATTCATAAGAAATAAATACAAAAGCAACAACATATAATAATTTCAGGTATACCTGTAACAGACTCAAATAGCTAGCAAGTTCTTAGGTCTCAAAGACCGTCGACACTCCAAGGGTTGTATATAACTGGGTCAATGCACCACACCCCCAAGCCCGATTGTTGTTCTCGAGGCTACTGAAGAGGCACAAGTATCGAGCATCAACATAAATACCAGACCTATTCGCAAAGAGAGTACATGCTACTATATGTAGCATGTACGCCCTAGCGGCATCCACATACCTACCAGTAGCTACAAGCCGATTGTATATGTTCTGAAGAAAATGCATACGAAGGTGCACACCCCTGGTCTCACCAAACTCCTTCAGCACATCCACCTTAAACAAACTCAAATCATGTGACACAACCTGACAAGCGGTGGCCACGCTAAGAATCGTAGTCGTCTAGAATCTACATACCAATCGAATATCTTGACATTTAAACCTTGAATACCTCTACCATTATATCTGCCATCATGACGAGCCTCAGGAATTCATATAGAGTCCACTTCAGACAAATAGTTTTCATAAAACTCAACAGTTTCTTCTGCGATGTATCATTCAACAATTGAAGCTTCTGAACGGTGATGATTCTTTGTATACTCTTTAAATATCTTCATGTATCACTCTACCGGATACATCCACCGTAAATAAACCGGACCACAAATTCTAATCTCTCTTATTAGATGAACAAATAAGTGAATTACAATGTGTAAAAATGATGGAGGAAAAAACATTTCTAATTGACACAAGATAATTCCAGACTCACGTTACAACTCATCTAACTTTCCATGTTCAATGACTTTACGACATATAGCATTGAAGAATAAACACAATTTTGTTATAATCACCCTTTTTTTGTAGAATACCACGAATAGCCACCAGTAGAAACTGTTGCATCAAGACATGACAATCATGAGATTTTAAACTAATTAATTTGAGATCATAGATTGACACAAGTTTCTTCATATTTGATGAGTACCCTTGTGGAACTTTGATACCCTGCAAACAATCCCAAAATTTTTTATTTTCTTTTTTAGACAGAATGTGACATGCTGAGGGCAAATATGTTCTATTTCTTATATCTTTTGGGTCTAACTCATGCCATATACCCATCACCACTATATCTTCACACGACTTCTTAGTATCTTTCGAATTGACTTTAATGTTTATAAGTGTTTCCGCCAAACTATCACATACATTTTTCTCCACATGCATCACATCAAGACAATGTCTTGCGTTGATGTTAGGCCAATATGGAAGATCAAAGAACACCGACCTTTTTCCCAAATATTTTTCTCCATAGTCCATTTTTGTTTCTTTCTAAATACAACATTAATGTGTTATTGTCTTTTATAAACTTCCTTCTTGTTAAGGGCTTTGGAGCGATACCAAACTCCTATTTTCCATTAAAAGTCTTATGTAATCTACGGTATCGATGATTAGGTCTTAGAAGTTTTTGATGCCCAAGGTAAACAATAGAAACTTCCTTCTTGGTTAAGGACTTCATCTGGGATACACAATTCAGCATCAACATGCTCCACCTCAATAGAAATTTCTCCCTATTCCAAGTTTTCATCAGCATCATCAGTTTTCTTGAAGGCCATCTCAGCTTCATTGAAAAATATATCTCGACTTTAGGAATCATATCATATAATCTTTCACTCCTTCGGGGTATCCCTTGAACATGCCTTTCAGAGCTCTAGATTCGACCTTACTTTGCCTAATGTGAGCATAGGTCACGCAGCCAAATAATCTCAATTTATCGACAACTGATGGATGTCCTGACCAAACTTCTTCAGGTGTCTTTATATCTAACGCAGTCGAGGGACATCTGTTTATCAGATATGTTGTTGTCGAAATAGCCTAAGCCCAAAACACCTTCTTTAATCTAACACTAGTCAACATGCATCTAACTCTTTCCAAAATAGTTCGATTAAACCTTTCTTCCAAACCATTTTGTTGTGGAGTACCTACAGTAGTTTTATGCATTGTAATACCTGAGGCAGCACAAAAGTTGTCGAACGCCTCATTGAAAAATTCAAGGCCATTGTCGGTTTTCAACAGCTTGACCTTTCTGCCAGTATGATTTTTGACCAGAGTCTTCCAACCTTTGAAATTCTAAAAAGTTTCATCCTTTATCTTCTGGATGAATACGCATAACTTTCTAAAATAATCATCGACTATGGATAGAAAATACCTTGCTCCTGAATATGATGGATACCTTGCAGACCCCCAAAGATCAACATGGATGTAATCAAGGGATCCATGAGTTTTTTGTTTGCCTTTGTATAACTTTACTCTACAAGATTTTCCAAGTACACATGGTTCACAAAATTTCAGCTTTTCGACATTGTCTCCACCAAGCAGATTATGTTTCCCTAATTCAACCAGACCCCTTTCACTGACATGGCCCAATCTCATGTGCCAAATTTATGTCTTCGACAAAGGTTTCGTGGATGCAACATTTGTCGAACCACTTACAACTTCAGCCTCAAGGGTACACAAGCCTTACTTCTTCATGCCTCTCAAGACTTTCTTAGACCACTTCATGACTCTAAGGATACTTTTCTCTCCTTGAAAAACATACTCCTTCTTGTCGAATTCACCAAGAGAAATCAAATTTCTCTTCAAATAAGGTACATACCTAACTTCAGTCAATAGCCTTATTGACTCATCATGGAGCTTGAATCTCACAGATCCAATACCTGCAGTTTTGCAAGCTTTGTTATTTCCCAACAGCACTGATCTACCATCTTGATCACATAGCTCCTCGAACAATTCTCTTTTTGGAGTCATGTGCCAAGTGCAACCTGAATCCATAATTCACTCCTTTCTCGAGTCGCTGCTTGAAACCACAAGAACATCAGATGAGTCGAAGTCATCTTGAACAATGATTGTGTTGCCATTATCCTTACCTTCATGATCTTTCAGGCGTTCAAAGCACACCTTTCTTGTGTGACCTTCCTTCTTACAGTGATGTTATCGAATACCATATGCCTCACAACTCTAAGACTTCTGCTGACTTTTACCTTTATTCTTGTCAAACTTACCATCCTTTCGTAAGAATTTTCCCCTAACGACTAAACCTTCACCAACCGTCAAAGGTTTGTGCTCATTTCGTTAGTTCAGGTCCTTATAATACAAGGTTGATTGAACTTATTCAAAGCTCGGGGACCCCCTTCCATACAGGAGAATTTCTTTGAAGTGGGCATGTGTTCTGGGCAAAGCGCACAATAGCAACAAGGCTTGATCTTCATCATCGATCTTCACATCAATATTTTTAAGATAAAAAATCAGCTTGTTGAACATATCCAACTGCTAAGCCAACACTTTGTATTCACTCATCTTGATTGAATACAAAGCTTGCTTTAGGTAGAGTCGATACGCTAGAGATTTGGTCATGTACAAAATTTCAAGTTTCAACCATAATTCAGATGTCGTAGTCTCCTTTGATACCTATCGGAGAACCTTATCGCCAAGGCTCAACAATATTGTGTTGTGGGTTTTCTCTATCATGGTCGTCTTTTCAGTTTCCGTTAACGCAACATTCATGGCTACCTCTCCCTTCAACGCTTCCAAACAACCCTGCTGAACCAGTAGGGATTTTATCTTCAAGCACCACAGACCGAAATCGTTCACTCCGATGAACTTTTCAATCTCATACTTTGTTGAATGCATCTTTCTCCACGCTCACCACACCAATTTGTTGTGAAAAATGATGCCTTGAAACAAAGTATAAATTGTTTCGTTATGATTAAGAAACACATAAAGGTTAGGGTTAACAAAAAAACTAGAAGAATAACAAGGATTGGTTATAACTGTTATTCTTTACTTTCTCTTTAAATCAGATTACAAGTACTCAAGAATAACAAATAATCATCTCATCATAATTAGAATTTGCCACACTTAAGATGAGAGACTAATATGTTATTTATAATAAAACCTAACATACTAAATTAATAAGCATTTTAACAATTACTCGTTATAAGTTAACTTAGGGTACAAGCTAACTTAAACAATTGGATCCTTAACACAAGACCCAATTCAACAACTACATACTAAAACACATTTCAACTATAACATGTAGGTCTTCGACAACAGCATGTGATCAGACTTCGACGGCATGCTAAACCTCTGTAGATAATACTAGAGTTTGATCCAATATCTCACACCATCTATAATTAAAAAGTTTCTTGTTAACTATTGAATAACAAGGAAATACCTTTTTAATAAGATTAGGAAACTAATAAAACTTAATCATATAAATTAACAAAAACATGTCAATGGCTTTTGTGAAGAGCTCTAGATCTTCCAAGGTGTCATAAACATTATAGACATCATCAATTAGAGTAATTAAGGCAAAGATCTTGGTTACGACTTTTCTGAAGTATCTCGAATTTGGATTTAAAATTATTCCCATTATCCAAATATAATTCTCAAAAATTCTATCCCTAGCAAAGTTGACTTTCCTCCACGAATAGTTCGATCCCACCATCTTATATTACAGAATAAAAGACCAAAAAAAATTAAGAAAGATGCATTTGGAGACACGGGCATCAAGTTTCTGGTGCCCTTGAGTAATTGTGGAGGCCAACACAAGACATCCAAAAACCTTGAGATGGTCATAGGATGGAGGAGCATCATGAAGCAGCTCATAAGGAGACTTAGAATTTGAGACAGGAGAAGGATATCTGTTGATGGTAAAAACATCATGACTGATAGCATAGTTCCAGAAAAATTTTGGAAGATTGGATTGGAACATGATGACTTTAGCAACATTCAAGATGTGTCTGTGTTTTCTCTTAGCTACAAAGTTTTGTTCAGGAGTCTCTATGCATGTTCTTTGATGAAGAAAGCCCCTTTTATTTAAGTAATCATGCATCAAAAACTCTTTGCCATTATCTGCGCTGACTTGCTGAATAATTTTTCCAAATTGAGTGTGATCTAAGATAATGAACTGCATGATCAAAGGCCTAGCCTAAGATTTTGATTTCATTAGAAAATTCCACGTGTGCCTTGTGAAATCATCTACAATTGTCAGAAAGTATTAGGGATTAGTTTGATCAAGAGCGGAAGAAGAAGAAGATTGGGTTCAAATTACTCTTGCTCCTGATACCATAATACGATATGTGAAATGTGTTTCATTAATGAACTTACTTAAGAAAGTTACAACACCTAAGTCCATATATACAACCTGTTGCTTGTACATCAAGCAACTAACTAAAAACAAACTACATGCACAAAACTAAGAAAAGCGGTTGGAGCAAAGGAAACCGAAAATAACGAAAAGATATAACTTAATACAATCACAAACAAATTATGGAATTAAACTATTTCATGGAATGGAAAGTACAAATGCTGCTGATATAAAGTTAAAACAACTTAGAAAGAAGAATTTCTGGTTGCGAGATGGATGCTATAAATTCCAAGATGCAATTTTAAGTCATTCGATCCATTATTCCATTGCTACTCTTCCCTCTCTTACTCCTCCAAGATGCTAATTCTCTGACATGTTGTGTGCTTATGATAGGAACAGGCTCAAAGATTAACGACATTATACGATTCTTAATTTCAGGATCTTGAATGCTATGACCATCTCCATGCATATACATGCACATTCCCATTCTAGCAATGTTTATAGCACTATCAATGAAACTTCTAGAGAATGATGAAGTATGAGCTTCTTTATTCATCTTCTTCCACACTGTTAATATCATGGAATTTACATGCTCACACGCGTCTCTTTCAGAAGCACCCGTTTTGTTCATGTAGCATTGAACTGTCTTTGGAATATCACCAGTATCATTTTCACGCTTGAAAAACAAAAGATGAAAATAATAAGTTCAATCTCCAAAATTTATTTCTATTTTAACCCATATCTTATATCATTTGATAAACTTACTTTATATGTCCCGAGATCGTTAACAAGGCGTACAATCATATCTGAAAACCGAATTATGTTGGAATTTTGTTCTAACCGAGCCATGTCTTCCATTTTGAATCCATGTTGAGTCAAGAAGTAACTATGAATTAGTATATTAGTTGTACCTATGGACATCCATGCATTCTCTAAGTATTCTTCAAGGCTTGGAGTATATCCGCTATGATACCACCTTGCTTCGATCATATATGTTTTACATTGATCTGTCCACTATTTTGAATGTAAACATTCAATCACAATTAATAAAAGTTATACAGTAATACCAGGCAAACAGACAACAACTGCGCTGCTACCCGATTAGTCACATAAAATATATATGATTGCTTAACTTACTGCTTTTTTTAAGTGTGGAGTGATATCCCGCCCGCTCTTATTTTGGATTTCAGAACTCACTTCATTCACAAAGTTGTTGAGTGGCTCAAAGCACATTTTCATATATTCCGGAAGACTATCCAATCCATTTAGATCCCATCTATAATCAAAAGATTTTTTGTTAACTATTGAGTAACAAGGACATATTTTTAATAAAACTTAACCATATAGATTAACAAAAACCTGTCAATAGCTTCTGTGAAGAGCTCTAGATCTTCCAAGGTGCCATAAACATCATAGACATCATCAATTAGGGTAATTAAGGCAAAGGTCTTTGTTACGACTTTTCTGAAGTATCCCGAATTTGGATTAAAAATTATTCCCGCTGTCCAAATATAATTCTCAACAATTCTATCCCTAGCAAAGTTCAACTTTCCTCCACGAACAGTTCGATCCCACCATCTTATATTACAGAAAAAAAACCAAAAAAATTAAGAATTGGTGTGAAATGAAATGATCATATAATGGTTTGAAGCATGATACCTCGATGAAGACTTAAGTTCTTCTTGATAAATGCTTTGAAGAATGTTGTAATCCAGTTTAGCAAACTGAAGTAAAACTGGACTCATGCTTTTCTTTTTTTCATACACACCGATGAACCATTGAGCCTCCCATCGAGGAATTCTCCAATGTAGTGGAAGCTCCAAAGCATAGCTTATTTGAAGTGACATATTATCATTATCTCCATTTTGGTTCAAATAATCTTTGAGAAACTTTGTTGTGAAATCTCTTGTTTCATCCAATATAGTTTCATCTTCAAATGAATGAAATGAGGCTTCATACATTGACAACATTCCCTCAACATCAATTGCTTGGTCTGTCTTCAAATCAAAGCAAACAAAAACATCTGCACCAAAACTCATATTATAAATTTAAATATCTAAAGAGATTAAAGCAACTTTAGACTATTATGATTAATATTAACCTGTAGATATATGATAACCATGTTGCCTTAAGATTCTAAACTTGAGTGCTGTGGCATATAAGTTATTCTTCTTCAACTTGGATGTTTGTGTGTTGTAAATATTGTCCAACAGGTTCCTTATTTCATTGTTGAAATGATAATCCACTCCAAGCCTTTGCAACACATCAATAAACTCAAGTTGATCAACCTCACTTCCCATTTTGTTAAACATCATTCTTACTTCTTCCCTTAGCACTTTGCATTCCTCTGCATACATATCTTCCTGCAATATTTTTAAATTAATTTACTAGTAATTGTTAGCATTTTTTCTTATAAACTTTCAATGACTAGTAAATATAAATGTAAAAAAAAATCATAACTTATATTCACTACTTAATGACTGGATATAATCATTGTTCCAAATTGAAGGTTGAAATGTAAAAGATGGTCGAGCAACTGTTTGATTTTGAATATTTGCAGCTTCATATGTTGTTCCCTTGCATTGAATTGGACGATGGAAATTGGAGTTCCATAATGGTAGAGATAAAGAACCATTTTTGGGAAAAAGGGTTTTGTTACATGTAAATGAGAGAGATGAAAATATGGGTAAAGCCATTAGCTAGAAATGAAAATACAATGTTTACTGTATGTAGTTTATATGAAACCCGAAGCAAGCTTTTATAATTTAACTTTTGGGAATAATTAATATTAATTTAACTTTGTAAGTGAGCAGCCACCCATGATTGGCATATATACTACTTTAGTACCATTTGCATAAAAAAATTATATAAAATGCATTTGTGTTTTTAGTAACAAAAGTATTCACGAATTCAACTTCAAAGTATTGTTAAAAAGAAAAATGTTATTTTGGCACCAAATTTTTACGGCTATATTATATATTATACGCGTTGGATATTGTGATTGTTGAAAATATATAACAGCACTAAAATAAAGACCACTTTAATGAAGTTTGTATTTGAAAATTTAAAGCGTTATTCACGAATACAAACGTTATTCACGAATACACCAGGGAGCATTGAATATGATTCTAAAAGCAACACAAGTGAGAGACACCACATATTCACCTAAAACTTTAAGGTGATAGGTGTATGAGTTCTCCCACTTATAAATATTCAAGTCACCACATTCAAGATTCAAACCTTGCATTTAGACCTTTCCAACATACCAAAATCGAACTTAACACCATTGCATTAAAGCAGACCCATTTTACCACTAGACCATCTAATAGAAATACAAACTTCCAACAATATTTTGGAAATCTCTTACGATCTCCCACCATTTACAAAATATAACTAAATATCATATATTTGAAAAAATCATGGTTTCAAATAATGATATCTTGCAATTCGAACCAATTATTCATTAGAACAAGTATGCATAATTCATACATGAAATATCGGTACTATAAAAAAAATTATAATAATTGACACATTTAATATGACTTTGTGTCATGTAGCATTTTCACGGAATTTAATAATAAATTCATTTAACTCTGAAGCGATCCACTACATTCTCGTATAAGCAGACTATCAAAAACGCACTCATAATTATGCATTCTAGCAAATATATGTTATATGTCTATTAAAAAGAAAACTTCATCCTACCACATTTATTTTTATGGCCCAAGTACTTTTACTCCTCAGAATGTATCTTCTGTCAAGTACTTCAATCACTCTAATAATATACTTTCATCATTAAACTCAAGACTTGAAATTCATCAAATGCGAGTTGAGTTTCCATTATTAATTAGATGTGGGTTTATATCACATCCCTACATGATGTCTTGAACATTATATCCTTGTCAATTATTTCGTCAAATAATTGCAAGATATTTCAATTTTATTAATTTTTAAATATTCACACACATGTATATGCCTCTTATTTATTTTTTATAGTTTAACCAACTAGCACACGACCATGAAAATGCAGTCGTTAAATTACTTTGTATCTCATAATAACATCTTAAATCATTTGACATTTGTAAACCATTTAATAACAAGCAATATGATTTAAAGTTTCACTTTCTTTCAATATGCGCACAACATATTAACACAACAAACATGTAAGATAACCATAATAAACATGATTATCAAATTTCTATATCCTAAACAATCATGATCATTTTTTTATCATATTCAATATTTTATCATGCATTCAATCTTGTAAATCATAAACATGTATCAAAATTATATCTAACTAATTAAATCAATCTCTTAAATAGACTTTTAAAACATATATGCATACACTTGAAATTTACAACTATCAATCATTATAATCATGGCCGTCTTTGAGGGCGTGTAAGATGGGCTACCGCACAAGGCCCAAAATTTTCCAGGGTTAAATCAGGGCTAAAAGAGGCCTCACAAAATTTTTCTTATGATTTAAACATAACAAAATAGGGCCCATATTTATTTTTTCCATAGTCAAACTATGATAAACCTACACAGGACCTCCAAAATTTTATGACGGCCGTGATTATAATTTAAATAAGTTTGAATATTAAATCACAAGACTCAAATGAATTTAATGGAAAAAAAAACATTTTCTATTTTAAATATAAATCAAATGACATTAGTCCAAAATATATCAAAATCATTATAAGTATATTTATTTATGTCACAACTTTTATTAAAGGCAAATTCAATACTTTATGATCATTATTTATGAAAATATTAACAACAAAATTTTATATTCAATTTCTTTGTAAATAAATATAAATCCACTTTTATATAAATATACCCCAAAATAAATTATACAAATCATATAAAGCGACACTTTATTACATACAAAACACACTTAATTATAAATTTTCAACATCGAATATACATTCTTAAAAGTGAGTAATTTCTAGAAGTTATTTATATGCAACAAGATGATCATTTCGTGCACTTGAGTTCTTCTCTTTGTTCATCTTTTTCAAGAATCTACATTCACTTTAAAATTTTCTGATTTGCGACAATGGAAGCAACTTCCTCATTTTCTTTTTCTTTATCCATTTTCATTGTTGTCATGAACCTTTTCATCATCTATGCACATATTATCATTAGACTTGTTAGATTTTCCATCTTCTACAACATGTATTTTCTCATGAGTAAATTGGTCTTTAATATCTTTTTTTTTTGCGATACTCTTCTTCTAAACGAAGTTGATAACTCAATTGTTCAAGAGATATATCCTCTTTTTTATGTTTCAATGTCTTTTTTATATCCTTCCACGAAGGTGGAAAGTATGTCTATTATGGAAGACACAATGATGGTTTCGTCCATGTGCATATTGTGTTGTTTGTAATTATTAAGAATACGTTCAATTTCATATAATTATTCTATAACAATCTATTATCTACCATTTTAGGATTATTCAAATAGAAAACAAGAAATTTCTTACTTGTAGCATCTTCTTGCATGTATCTGGATTCTAGTTTATCCCATAGATCTTTTGCAGATTGATTGTTTTGATAGATATTGAACAAGAAATCGGACATACTATTGAGAATATGGCACATGCAAATATAGTCATCAATGTTCCACTTTTGTCTCTCTCTAGTTTCAGCAATTTTTTCTTCCTCCCTTTTTACCATTCTTGCATTTAAAATATATACCACTTTCAAAGTTGTAAGAAAAAAATTTTATCTTTTTTTGCCGACGAATAAAGTTTCCTCCATCCAACTTATTCAATTTCACAAAATTAGATGTCATTTCTTTGAGTAACGCTGTCATTTATTAAGTAATAATTGAACCTAAAGTTGTTGGACATTGTTGTTGTTGGAAATATGTAGTATCACTAGAATAAAGAAAGTATTAACGAAGATTGCACTTAAAAATTCAAAGCGTGTGAATTTCACACTAACCTTTAGACTCAATTCGCCCCTACCAATTATTATATATTGGATGCAATAAGGATTAACGGAAAATTCCCTTTAACATACTTTGAATACCTTAATGTGAATTGCACAAACACACTAAGCGTATCTTTTAATAATAGGTTACAGAAAAGTATTTTCTATACTTCACTCATGCATTAATGAAGTAAAAGATAATTTTAGAATAATTGAAATGGTGAAAAATAGATGTGTATAGATCTATTTTCGTGTGGATTTTATGATTTTCAAGTATCTCTATTTATAAAAAAATTGAAATCACTTAGTAAAGAGAAACACCTTTTGAATATAATTTTGCACCTGAAATAATGAATCATTATATACTTTAACATTCACCTTGTTTCACAAGCAACATGATGGTCCAGTGGTAAGGACGTGTTTCGCCTTGCATTTAGACTTTGTGAATTTAATTTTGTTACTGTTAGCAAAACATAATTTATTCAAAAAGTGTAAATATACTATAATCAAACTCAGCATCATTGCATTAAAGTAGACCTACTTTACCACTAGGTCATCTAATCCCATATTAATAAATATGTTTGCAATAATAGAAATACAAATTTTCAACAATATTTTGAAAATTTCTTAGAGTATGTTACTATTCAAAAATATGGTATGTAATGATATTTATAATGTTAATTTTCTACATGTTTATTTCTCCCTCTCTCAAAACAAATTTGATTAATGGGTCCTAAAAAATAGGATGATACAATTTATAGTTTGGTTAATATATATTTTGATATTAAAAGGTAATCATAAATAAAAAAATAAAGTTTGTCAGTTTAGTATAATAAATTGGTTAATATAATTCATAATTTAGTTATTGAGTGCTCTAACGTCAAATAAAGTTTTACGTTCTAAATCAGCTTTAGTTAATGGTATTCATAATGTTGGATAATATAATTTATAATTTAATTAATAAGTTATCAAATATAAAATAAGAAAACTCATAATTAGTAAAAACAGTTGGATAATAGAGGGTAAAGATTGATTAATACATTTTATATTTTAATATTTAAAAATAATTAATATTATATATTTTATTGATTAATGAAGTAATGATCATATTTGTTTCAAAAAATTGTATTTTTAATTTTTTAAAATGAAAATATAAACATTATTTATCGTATAAATACGATAAATAATACATGGTTAAATATTGGTGTTAAATAGTCGTTCAAAAGACAAATGGATGGGTGCAATGGTGGATGAGATGAAGTCTTTGAAGGAAAATCAGGCATGGGAACATGCTCAACTTTCTAAGGGAAAAAAAGACCATATGTTTTTTTTTGGTAAGCAGAATAAATTAAAAGGAGATTAAGCAAATCTCAAACCAAGAGTCAATTACAAAAAATTAAAAGGAAATTTGAATCAATCATACAAGCAGCACGACTTGCTCCCCTTTCTACCTAGGATCAACCAATTCCAAGAATAAAGTTTTATATCGAAAACAATATTGTCAACCTCAGTAACTACATTATTGAATATACAATCGTTTCTAGACCTCTAGATACTCCAGCAAGTAATAAACCAAATCGAATTTACTTTATTCGCTTGACACCGACCTCTAAGGCACTTGTTCCACTCCTTAGCGTGAGAATAGCAGCAATTTTCCGAGATTATGTCTATATCCGCCCATTTACAGATCTTGTTCCAAACCTGAGTAGATTTAGAGCACGAGAAGAAAAGATGGGATACGTCCTCCAGGATACTAGAAC